TTTTTTTTTTTTTTTTTTTTTTTTTTTTTTTTTTTTTTTTTTTGCTATAGGGTACATGCCCTCACCAGAGACACAGAGGAAGCTACAGATACAGAAAGTGAGAAATCACCCCCCAGGGGGGATGGCCATGCTGCAATCCCTTCTCCTCCATTCTCTTCTCGGGATCTTGGACACGCATGCACACGTGCCCGGCATGAGATTAAGCCACCGGGTTTAGGACTCGAACCATGGTTAACTACATGGGAGGCCAGCGACATAGCCATTACACTAACTCCTGGTCCCAGGACGTTCCTTTCTTTCTTTTTTTTATTTTTAAATCTATATAATATATTGCAAGGTTTAACTTTTTTTAAAAAAGAATTATTTTATTTATTTCAATTTGATTAGAGAGGGACAGAGTGAGACAGAGAGAGAGAGAAAGTGAGAAAGCAAACCACCAGATCTGGGATTTGAACCACGATCAGCCATGCGGGAATCCAGTGCCCCAAACCACTATACCACCTGCCAGCCCCCCAGGACATTCCTTTCTTAAGGCCCTCTTGTCTCCTAGGAGATTTGGCCCCACCCACACAAGACAGGGAACTGGCAGATCTCTAGGAAAGAGCTGGCAGACCAGAACACAGGGGGCTCAGCTCCAAAAAAGAAACAGAGAAAGAAGAAAGAAAGAAAGAAAGAGAGAGAGAGAGAGAGAGAGAGAGAGAGAGACAAAGAGAGAAAAAGAGAGACAGGCAGCGCAGCTCTGGAGATGAGGTCCTTAGGAGAGGGTTGTATGTGTGTGTGTGTGTGTGTGTGTGTGTGTGTGTGCACAAGAACCTCACAGCCACCTGGAGTTGGAGATGGGCCCTTCTCAGAGATTGGCACGGGGTCTGCGTGGGGGTGTCCGACAGGCAGTGTACGCCGGCTGAATTGCAACACTTGTTTTCTCTGAAAGCTACAGTCCGATGAAAGATAAAACACATGACAACATGGAAGGTCCCTCTTCACCCAGGGGCTGTAAGTCCCCAGATAAGAACCAACACTGCACCCAGACCCAAGGTCAGTGAGGTCAGTTCTAAGAGATAAATAAATGTTGGCCTTAGCATCCCTGATGGTTTTCCTCGAGCTGAGGCAAGGTTCGTGGCCTAAGGGGCCTTCACATACTGTTGGTGCTATTATCTAAAAATAACAGATCAGTCAGAGCCAGCTTCTTGTCCTTCTTGCCTCACTCTTCAGGCCTTGTATGTGTGAGCACCAGCCTTCTTTGAGAGCCCTGTCTCCAAGTCCCCTTTGCTTCTCCAGATGTTCTAGAAACTCTCCTGCTACAGGTGCTCAAACATCTTTCAGCTCCCCCACTAACTGCTCATCCAAAGGGATTTCGCCATCAACTTCCACAGGTAAGAATGCGTGCACACACACACCTACACACACACACGCATGAACCTTTAGGGTCTGTCCCAACTATAAAGTAATACCGATTTGCTTTACAAGCTATCAACGCCTATCAGAAAACCACAGTAATTCAGACAGACTGGGTTGGGCACCGGACTAGACTAAGAGATCTGAAAAATAAAGAGCTATCAGAGTAACAGAGATGGGATTTAGTGTGAGGGAGAGAGGAGGTTGAAGG